CATATGTCATGTTAAGCCAGGGTATTGAAGTTGTTTGAGTGAAAATCATTTTACGATTGGCTCTGGTAGTAACCCCGATATTCTGTTGTCGGGTGTTTAAAGGCAAGCTCCATTATTCTGTCAATAGATAAATGATAAATGTTTGTGTGTTCATTGATTTGCAGTAAATTATATGTTGGTGTTTTTGTAGCGTACACTAGTCCTATATTAAAGTTTTGTGATTTACACCGTGTTATTATTGAATTATGTTTAAATACTGTCGCATCTGTTCGACACTTTATCATTTTTAGCACTCCTTTCTGTTTAGAGACCACTATTTTTCTCATCTGCGAAAAGTAGGTTTCCGTCTACAATAAAACCTCGATATAATGCCCCTCGTTCCATTTGTCACCTCGCTTACCGTCAACATAATTCACGGTTTCGTTTTTCTCCTTTTCTTAAAAATACCCCAATTTATCGCAAAATCCTTGATAACGCCAAACTTTCTCTGGACAAATGGCGGCAGTATAACAAGATTTTATTGTATATCTACGTTCAGAATAAATGGGTTTAAGCATTCCTTTATACATTTCCTCAGTTAATTGCCAAACATCTTTATAATGCCAAATCTTCCCTGGTCAAATGACAATGTTTTACTGTATATTTACGTTCAGAATGGACGAGTTTAAGAAATCCTTTATAAGTTTCTTCAATTTATTGCCAAACCTCTTTATAATGCCATTTTCTGTACAAATGGTGACAGTATAACGAGGTTTACTGTATTTATTACGCTATCAACATGCCATCCCTGATAAGACCGCGTTTAAACCTTCCCCTGTGTGTGTGGTCACTTAAAGATTTGACTGTATAGGACACCGATCTATATTTGGCTACAGCGTTATATAGGAAACATGTTTGTATCACACTCCTAAGATTTTGTTGTCGGGTTGTTGTTCATTGTGGATGGTTTAGTTTAGAAGCTGTAATCATACCTGTCACGTGTATCTTTGAAATCGTATATCGGTTTATAATAACGATATTTCGAGTGTTTTAATCTTTTATTAGGATGCTATCTGATCTGTGAGTGAACTGGGGGGATCGGACACAGCTGATTACAACAGTACCGAGATAACAGTACCTACATAACAGTGCCATGATCCAACGACTTAGTAGTCTAACGCCAGGCTGAATAAATCCTCCGTCGGTGTTAACAGCTGTTTGTCCTTGCTCAATACATTTTTTTCTGAGGTTGTAATTTTTATTTTATTTTTTTCATTTATGATTTATTCATTTATTTATTTATATATTTAGGATTGATTTGTTGATTTATCTATGATTTATCTATTTATTTAGGGGTTCATGGTGGGTTTTTTTACATTGACATTACATCGATTGCTGTTGTTTTGTTGTTGTTGTTGGTTGTTTTTTTAACTTTAGGTTCTCCGATTTTATGTGCTTTAACGTTGGCGTCTTTTTACCCTAAATTTCTTCTTGTAAATTGTACGATTTTTTTGTTCGAAACATCATCGTTTCTGACTGTTGTTAATACAGTAACAATAATATATACCTGACCTACATTGCCAACCAAATGAATCGGATACATCGACGAACTCGTACTTAACCGTTAGGACACACATTATCTTGAGGGTTTACTGGAGCAGAACAAAGATTATTTAGGCTTTCTTTTGGTCAATAAATCTGAACTGCTTGTCTCATTGGGTGATGTCTCTGTAACGCCAGCGTATCGAATAGGTATATGTTTTGTTGTATGCGGCCTCAACTAACGGCGAAACGAAAGTATTGCCGTACACTGGTCAGTTTTAACGACAATGTAACGGTAATACGCCAGTGTGTGTTACAGTATACGGCTTGTACTAGGTAATGGTGCTACGCTAGTGTGTGGTACAGTATACGGTTTGTACTAGATACTGGTGTTACGCTATAGTGTGTGTTACAGTATACGGTTTGTACTAGATAATGGTGCTACGCTAGTGTGTGGTACAGTATACGGCTTGTACTAGGTAATGGTGTTACGCTAGTGTGTGTTACAGTATACGGTTGGTACTAGATACTGGTGTTACCCTAGTGTGTGTTTTCAGTGAAATAGTGTCAGCTGAAAACAGCAGTACTTTAGTGGGAGCTTAATTCATTAAGATATATGTGATCCAGTGATCAGCTGTTCTATGGACACTTTAATGAAAAACACAAAACTATAAGGTAAGTGTGTAGTTTGAACCATACAAATACATATGAGACGTATTCCTATAACATTTCTACCATGATTATATATTTAAATTAGTTTGTGTTCGGATTTTCTTTTTATGTTTTGACATTATGAGAGTTTGTTTCATTGAAAATGATATTGATTATGTGAGTATTCATATTCAGTTTAAACGAACTACATCCACCTAAGGAATACAGGACAGTGAAAAGAAACACACGTTGATATAAACATTCCATGTATATTTTCCTGCTATCTGCCCACATGGTACATCTATCAGGACGGACTCCAAGAGAACCATGGTGGCTTAAAACACCATATAATACACAAATCAATGATGGTATGTTTGTCATGTTCGAAACTATCATAGAATTCCTTTACACAAGGTATGGGCATAACGTCGGCTGTGAAAGAATAGGTAATATTTGTCAGATAATTAGCCACGAGCAAGCGAAACCTACACTGACCTGGAACATCTGCACGTCTGTGAATACGATAGGAGTAGTAAATATTCACTGAACGAAACTAAAATCACGACCTGCAGGAATGGACAAAAAAATAGAGATGTTAAGTGGGGTTTTTCAGAAACTGCTGGTAAATTTATTTCGATTTTGTGAGTTTGCCAATAAAACATGCATGGATTTGTAGTTATCGGAACGAATTGAATAGATACTGGAATAGAAATCAGTTCTTTCTGAAATGTATCGATTGTGAAGGTAAGAGCTACGGGGGTATTGAAAGATTATGGTGTTTCAAATAAACCCTCTCCAACAGTAGTAATTACAAACAGTTGTCCTGATATCAGAGATTACAGGGGCTGTGAGAATCCTGACGTAGGCTTAAAACTTCATGTTAACGCTTAAACAGCGTTTGTGTTTATCCCACCAGCCCTGGTCTACAATTAGGCCTGCAGTCTATTCCATGTATTTCGGTGTTAAAAGTTTGAATATTTAGCACATTTTTCAAAGGTCATGCATGATTCCTCTCTGATTTTTAGGTTTATCTCTCAAACACTCAACGGTCGTTTTAAGAAATGAAATGTGATTTACTTTTTAAATATCTTTTACATCTACAATAAACATTATTGCTTACTTTTCTTTAGTATACCTATTAAACGTATTGTGTATCTCTCGTGGGCATAGGGGTTAGTCAGTGCTTGGTATGTTGGATCCAGCCATATTTGAGTGAACAATAACATTGTTTTGGCATAGGACCACAGATGACACTCCCTAGATTGCGGAGGTTCCTTGAGATTCAGTGTTAACACCACGAAAATAGGTCTTTTGTTCAATCGGACCGATCGGGGAAGTCTGTTTTGTTATGACCTTCGCTTTCCTTCTCTTATGACTCACAGATATTTGTTAAACAATTTTGAGACAACAGAAACACCAAATCAAAAAGTCTAGAAGCATAGTTAAGCTTGATTTGGAAAAGACAGAACAAATCTCCAAAGCATCGGCAGGTGCCAAAACAATTGAGGGTTTATCCTGCTCCAATCAGATCAGGAACATTGGATGTTTCCGTCAGTCGATCACTACAGATGTATGTAAGATTTTCGTGCATTTTCCTTTCACCCTCGTTTGGACTAAGGTTCTTCCCTGTAACTGAACCACTAAATAGCCATCTGTAGAGGGTTTAGATACTGTAGCATGGTTAGTAGCACTTTCTCTAAAGAGAACAGATCGCACAAGTGTTACATTCACTGTCGAAGCTATAAAATTTGCCTATACGATACAGGTATCAGTACAAACTTTTGATGTATAATATAGAGTTACTTATGGAAAAGCTCTTCGATATTTAAATGAATTAGACAAACAAAAAGTTTTTTTCTAAAATGAACTTATGTTGTCATTGTACTCAATATGATTAAAACTACTGAACAAAATGACATTTAAATTGAAACCCATATTTACAATTGCTGTCCTGAAATCCTTACCCAATAAACGTCAATTTGTGAAATCATTGGAGGGACGACATCAAAAAGTTTTCGTCGAAGCACTTTTGACAATAAGTTAAGTAAATCTAGTTATAATTCTTTCTACAATTGTTTTATTTCATTATATAGTTATGTAACAAATTAATGCGAGTGTAAACTGATAAAAATTGATTACCAATGATTAAAGTGATAATTATATTTGATACCTTCTTAAAAGATTTCTTGTGGTCTTACCAACCAAATTTAACCTCACAAAAAAAGTTAAACATTCATGAAGTACGTTTGAATTTTATCGACAAGACCTAAATAGTTTACTGCATACGAAGTTTAATTGTTCCAGAAGTATATTCGCGGTGAGGGGATCCTCTTAATTCAGCATGTCGGTGAAAACTCTGAAATTAAGACCAATAAAGCAACATATCCTCTTCTTTTGATATCTCATACTATATAATGCCCAGATATATTTTATTGAAGATAAAAGCCGAAAATAAGAAGTAGAAGTTAAAAGTAATTTTAACACATATTTATTAGAGAAGCTACAGGTGTTTTTTGTTGTTTTTTCATCAAGATCTTTTATTATGGGAAATTTTATTGAGTTATGAAGAATTTACAGGTAAATTAATACATCACATGCATTTATAGTAAGAAAATCCATATTCATAACTGGTAACAAATTACACAACTAACGTTAACGGTGATAGCCGTTATTGATGCCAGTGGGACAGGCGGAAAGAACATCGATTCCAAAGGCAACGCCTCGATAGGCAAGCTTGAAAATTGATCAGATAGAACAGCGATCGATAAGTGAACACAACGTATCCAACAAACACTGCTGCTGTAATTAGTCCGCAGATACGCAGAACCACACTAAACACGGTTTCCATAGAGGTGCATACATTAAAATATATAGTCCAAAGCATTGAAATTTTACCTGGCTTTTTAAAGCTGACAGTTGAAAATAGACCGTGTAACGAACGTTGGAGAGATCAACAGAGCGTGGCAGTGTGTTTGGATAGATAGTTGGAAGGCTTATCTGTTGTAAGAAATATTAGGATATTTGGCAGTTGATGCATTGCTACAGTATACACTTCTTGGTGTGAGTTCTATGACATGGGCAAATACACAAACAGAACGAAAAGGTGACTGATACAAACTGGCATCATACCTGTATGAAAGACAAAGGATTTTTCAAACGAACGGAGTTGACTATATACTTCTATATGTAAGTCGTTATGGTATAGTGTTGATAAGTCAAAAAAGCTTGTTGTTATGCTACTTATTTGTAAGTCAATATAATTTTCATTAATTATCTTTTATAGTTATTTTTATTTACCTTTATTTGTGTGCTTTTGATATACTGTGCTGTATATATTTTATTTAAAAATAATACTGCACACCTCTTTTCGTTACTTAAACATTCACACAGTTTGAAAATTGATGATAAGACATGTTTTTTCTCGCACCACAAACAGAGATATCCTATGTCATACCTAATGCTAAAATTTTCTATCTCGTCCGATCTGTCTTGTACCTTTACGTGACATTTCGCGGAATTGTTACACTGTGATGTATTCATCCACGCGTTAACTGCTTGATATTGACAATCTGCAATATAAGATATTTGAGGTTGTAGATAAAGTATTATCTACACTGTGAAATACGTTGTCTTCTTTACAAGGACGGACTACATTTTTACGCGGAAGCATTCAAATGTAGCTTAAGTAGTTAATAAGTCATTATCATTTGTTGCCCCAGACGGAAAACTTGTAGTTTTTAGCAAAATTGATAACTTTTTTCGAACTAAAAGGCGCGAGAAAACAATCAATAACCTGTAACTGAGGAAGATCGGGTTATCTCAGTCTCGGGCTAAGATTCTGGAACATCCCAACCTCGGCTTACGCCTCAGTTAGGATTTTGTTACAGAATCTTAACCCTCGACTGATAACCCGATCTCGCTCAGTTACAGGTAATAGATTGTATTAGTCCCTGCATGTTGAGGACTATTTTGTCCCTATTTGTTGGTAATATGAAATGATATTACCTGTGCGTTGATGCTAGGCTACAATTTGTCTTATGTTGACGATAGCTATAGTTTGTCTCTGAATATTTTCGATATAGATTTTTTGTCCCTTTATATGCATGTTGATATTGAGGACTATTTTGTCCCTATTTGTTGGTAATATGAAATGATATTACCTGTGCGTTGATGCTAGGCTACATTTGTCCTATGTTGACGATAGCTATATTTTGTCCCTGAATGTTGTCGATATATATATATTGTCCCTTTATATGCATGTTGACATTAAGGACTGCATTGTCCCTATCTGTTGGCAATATGCAATGATATTACCTGTTCGTTGACGCTATGGTACATGTTTTCTTGTGTTAACATAAAGGAATATTTTGTCCCTGTATGTGGGAAATTATTGTTTAAAGATGTTGACAAAATGGTAAAATTTGTCCAACGAGTATTGTTTGTCCTAATATTATATTAGTTTAAGTTTAAACATATTTTATTGTACAAATATACAAATGGATTGGACAACAAGTTATTACTACTTAATGAAAGTCCTCTCCTAAATACATATGGTACATACAATGTATATGTTTTATGGGGAACGGGAGGAGGATAGGGTGGAGAAGGAATTTAAGGTTATGGAGGTGGGGGATAGGGAATGGGGGTTACCTAGAAAAGAAATCGTGTAAAATGTAAAAAGGATCCGCATTTGAATATCACAAAATTGACATGCAGCCCGGTATAGTAATTTTATAATGAACAAGACCAATGTAACAAAGTAATCAGGCAAAATAATGAAATGCAATTTCATAACCATATAAAACAACGTAAACATATAAAAAAAAAATAAGGAATGATAATTATAATTATCATAACCTATTGCTGGATTTGATGTTATGATGTACTTACCTAAAAAAATTGTATTGGTTTCTACCGAAAGTTGGGTTTTACCACACAAAAGTAATTCTTAATCAAAATCAACATACAAGGCATTCAAATTTAGGAACAGGATGCGTCTCTCGTCGTTAAAAAGTAAGCACTCATAAAAAAAGTGAAAGGCATTTTCACAGGGATGGCCACAATTACAAACTGGACTATCAAAAAGGTTTACCCTATAAAGATCATATTTAAGTGGACTACACTGATATCTAAGTTTTGTATGCAAAATGTTTAATTTACGTTCACCGAAACCTAAGTAGATTGGCGGAGGAGATAGTACGTTTGAAGTTCACGAGTTTTTAAAAGAATGTAAAGAAGTCAATGATCGTACTGAAAGGTCCAATATAATATAATATATTTTGTCCCTGTGTGTATTGGTTATATGACATAGTTTGCTCGTGCATGTTGACATTGTGGTAAATGTCCTTTTCGTGTTGACATTGTTGTATATTTTGCATGCCGACAAATTTGGTATATATTTTTACCTGGGCGTTGATGCTTTGGTATAGTTTGTCCCTGTATGTTGACAATGTCGCATGTGGCATATACGCTGGCACTATTGTACTTTCTGCTTTCCATGTAGACATTGTGTGATATTTTGTCCCTCTGTGTTTGTGATATGATACATTTTGTCCCTCTGTGTTTGTGATATGATATATTTTGTTCCTCTGTGTTTGTGATATGATATATTTTGTCCCTCTGTGTTTGTGATATGATATATTTTGTCCCTCTGTGTTTGTGATATGATATATTTTGTCCCTCTGTGTTTGTGATATGATATATTTTGTCCCTCTGTGTTTGTGATATGATATATTTTGTCCCTCTGTGTTTGTGATATGATATATTTTGTCCCTCTGTGTTTGTGATATGATATATTTTGTCCCTCTGTGTTTGTGATATGATATATTTTGTCCCTCTGTGTTTGTGATAGGATATATTTTGTCCCTCTGTGTTTGTGATA